TAAAAAGTTAAGGCACTCCGCAGTTCCAGATACACTTAGGACCGTGTACTTTGCATTGGGTCAATCAGTACTCACGTATTGCATTACTGTGTGGGGTGGTGCACCGAAAACGCATCTCCTGAAACTTGAACGAGCACAGAGAGCTATCCTTAAGGTGATGACCTTCAGAACTTTCAGGTACTCGACTACCTTGTTATACTCAGAGTGTAGGATTTTGACGGTGAGACAGCTCTTTATACTCCATACTATACTCCGTAAACATAGCCATCTTCAGTGTGATACAAATGTTATCAGAGGCCGTCGATACTATAAAGTTTGTCCCACCCACAAATCAAAGACTGCTGCTGCTCGGCGTCATTTCCACATTCTTGGCAACTTTCTATACAATAAAGTAAATAAGCTATGTGATATCTACCACCTCACCAAATATAGATGCAAGGTGAAAGTCTATGAGTGGCTTTACACATTGACTTATACAGAGACAGAGAACCTAATAATCCTATCAACCCTTTAGGCTATAACATCAAAAACTATTTACACGAACGGGAATAACGCGCACACACACACACACACATACGTGAGTCAATCACACACACACACACACACACGCACGCATGCATACTCACTCTCACACACGCATGTTCTTTTTTAATTGTTGCATGTAATAGACATAGTGTCTGTCAATTGTAACCACGCTACATCTGATTGATTGTATTCCAAATGTGAGAGACCTGATACCCATAACACAAGTTAAATCTTACCTTGGGTATCAGTGTCACAACATACTGCTTACCGTGTAATATTGTGATCCTATTTAGTTTTAATTGTAAGTGGTTTATTGTACAACTTAATGCAAATAAAGATATTATTATTATTATTATTATTATAGCCAATTTGCAAAGGTCGTTTATGTATATTAAAAACTTATATACGTATAAATAGATTTCTAAGCATTAGATTGGTCCGCCGGTGTTTTGTTCTATTAGGACCTGCATCATAGATCTGATGCGTGCATATCACTGCACTTGTGTTCGTTTTGTTGTTTTTAAATGTTCGTCATATCGTCGTCGTCGTAAATCGTATAGTCTGTTTATAAAAATGTTCACTGATCCAGCACTAATTAGGCTTTCCGGTAAACTATTCCAAATGGTCACCACGTGGTTTATAGTGCATCTAATCTAAGAGGTACCGTTTGACAGTTCTGACAGATTAAAGTATAGCGATGGGTCAAAGAAATCGATTTCTAACATAACTGATGACTTTGATATAATTTCTTAGTATGAACTAATCGAATACAGTTTTACAGATTTATGTATGAAGGCCGTGTAATGCCACATCGTAGGTTTTACTAGTAAATCTTAGTATACACTAACTTACATACTCTTAATTTTAATTATGCCATTCCGTGAAATTGAGAATTGTATACTTGCGACAAAGAAAACTAGCTATGTAACTTCATGGTCCTACGAAAAAGGCTATTGAAATTGTGTGAGTTACGCCTATACAAAGTTGTTTCGTCTTGAAAAGTATGAAACGTCAAACGGCACCTCTTAGATTAGATGGACTATAGAAGAAAGTGTCTCCTAGGTTGCTAACAGACGGAAACCTTACCAGGTTTACGTCTGTTACTTCAATGAGCGTCCTCTCAATTGGGTATTTGATTTCTTAGTAAAGAGGTTTCCGAAGTCTTTCACACTGTAGTGTCTAGTTAATATTTTAAATGTTTCAATCATATCTCCCCTTTGCCTGCGTTGTTCCAGTGTAGTTAATTTAGTTCGGTAAGGCGTTCTTCATATGACATGTTTTTAACTATATAACCATTTTTGTACTTTTTCGAGCATTTCATGTCTTTCTTGAAGTATGAATTCCATATTTGAAATGTGTACTCCAAGAGCGGACGGATATATGTTTTGTAGATTCTTATAAACAAGTCTTTTGTAATGATGTTGAATGCTTTTCTAGCCACATACATCATGGAATTAGCCCTCTTCACTATATTTGTCATATGAACATCCCACTTGAGGTTATGTGTGATGATTAACCCGAGATCTCTTTGGGAACTCACAGCTGGCAATTCCATCGAACCAATCTTGTATTTCAACTTCGGGTTGTTGTTGCCTATGTGTAAAACGGTACACTTCGATGCATTTAGTGGGATGAGCCAGTCCTGTGTCCACTGTACAATACGATCTTAGTCCTGTTGTATAACATTATGACTAATGAGGGTGTTTCCGGTGTTTATTTTGGTATCATCACCAAACACGTAAGTCTGATCTAATATCAGTCATTTTCATACAATTATTTTGTTAAGCATGGCCTAGGAATTCCATTTATTTCAGAAATAAAGATATATTAGTACAGTCACTATAAAATGTTGTTACTTAACTTATTAGGTAATAGTTAGATTTCACTATTTCTATGATAGTAAACTTTATTGCGAGACTAGCTTTTTTTTACATGTTATAGTTTTAATTGTGTACTGTACATAAGAAATGAGGACATTTATGTAAATGAGGACTCAAAAGATTTATCATTTTAGATATAAGTAGTTAGAGTAAGAAGAAAAAATAACTGCACTCTTTTATAGTAATACTAAGTTTGAGGTGTGTCTCACAAGTCTTTCTGATTTTCGTCTATGCTTAGTTTTATTGTGAATTGCTTAACAGTCTGTCACGCAAGTTGGCAGTTGAATATTCTTCGTTAGAATTATTTGGCTCAGCTAGTTAGTGTTAGAAAAAACTCACAAAGAGCCCCTGTGATGTAGCAGCGCGTGCCGTGGCAGAAGTCTGCAACAATTCGTTAAGGTCTGTCAAAATTACTTTGAAATTTCTTAATTTGTTTGTATTTTGAAACGTGTCAATATCATTAATCTTGTTGTACTGTAAACTGCAAATATAACGGCAAAAGTATTCAGTGTGTTTTTTTTTTAATTATGTGAATTTTAAAGTTTTATGTACTTAATATTTCTATTTAGTGGAATTTATTATCATCGTTACTATATCGAAAGCAAGTTAATAATTCACAGATCCTAGCCAGATACAGCCTTGATAACTCAAAAAAACTCAGATACTGTAAGAAATCTACTAATATTATTACAATTAAATAAAATTGAAGACAATGAATTACATAAATCAATGTTAATTATATGTATAAAATATTAAGGCAGCAAAATATTTACTCTATGCACACCACAAAGAATCATTGATCTGTAGTAAAATATGTAATATGTTAATTACCTTAATTTACCCACCGAAAAATACTACATTAAGTGAACTTCATTACTCTTCAAGTTATGACAGTAAGTACTTAGGTTAAAAGTTATTGTATAGGTCAAGATTGACACCAATAATTGACTAATGACATGGCCTTATAATAAGTAATAGTAATGGCCATTATTCAGTTGCTCTTCAACATTTCTTACGTTATGAAGAATAAGGTAGGTAATAATAATATTGTGTGTGTTTTAAATGTTTTGTACTTTTAAAATCGATTTTTACATCAATATCAGCAGCCAACCGTCCGCTGCTGAACGAAGGCCAACAATATATGTATCCAAAATAACAAATTTCTATGAAAAACACTTTTTGTCGTCTTTTTCTCTTTACTTGTGCTGTAAGACCTTGCTTTTAACCAAAATTGACAATTCTAGGTCAACCAGAAGTACCCTATAGGTTTTGGGTTGTAAACCTATATGGTAGTTCCCGTTGACCTAGAATCACGAAATTTGGCAAAAAGAAACGTCTTACAGTATAAATAAAGGAATAATTCAAAAAAATAAAAAAGTTGTAAATTAAAATCTGGGTAGGTACGGAACCCTCGGCGCACGAGTTCGACTCGTACCTGACCTTTTTTTTTTAAATAAAAGATTATTTAGCCGAACGACGGATAGATATCTACTAATGACCTTAACGGTTTAATAGTCTTATAGAGCCTACGTGAATATTATGAATAAAACAGTTTCAATACTATTCTTCGAATAAATGTTATCTGATTATTTATCACAAAATTGAAATATTGGGCCTAATATCGCTAAGAGAGACCGTAAGTAACTTTACCCTTGACATTGATGACTATTAAACTACATAGATAACACATTTCGTTGCAAGGACAATATTATGATATCTCGTTTCAATAGTTATTTCTGACATTCGCCTAATAAATAACATTGGCATAGACTCGAACAATTTTCTAGAGGACTTTCATGCTTTACTTTTATGATCTATGACGTATATGTATTAAAAAAAGATTTTCGACCTAAATTTCTTAACCATAGTTTAAAATGGAAAATAAATTATGTATTGAAAAATTTAACAATAATAATATGTAATATAAAACAAGAATAACAATAACACGAATAATAACATACTCGTATATGAATAACAACGTTTTAAAAAATTGTATGTTTCCTACATAGTTGTAATATATTTGTATTTTTTCTTTCTTTCTTCTTTAATCTAAGAAGTTGACATGAACGTGGAATAACGTCCTGGGTCGATTTCTAAGTACATATTTTTAAAACTGCTTTGATTTTTGATTCGATTTGATAGTCAGGGACTGTGTAGGACATCTTCTAAGCTGGCGACATCCATTAGCAACATGTGAACTAATACGCAAAGTAGTTCTTTATTTTTACAAATTTTTTATTGTTCTTTAGTGCCAAATGAACAAATGTGACAACGATTGGTCGATGATGATGTTCCATGGTTGGTCAAAGTAGGAAGTGTTTATTACACTATTTACAAATTTTTTATCTGTGAAAGCTGCTCGAAGCTGCTGTTATCGACTATTATTGTGTCTCTTTTGGTTAGCTGGTCGGTATCGATGCCAGAAACACCGGTAAAACTAAATATTATTCTCTCCTTAAAATGTTGTATTTTTTCTGATATGATATTCTGCCTCCAATTATTGTAGAAATATTGAATACTAGTTTTAGAAAAGTCAAACGAAAAGGATATAGCTAATTAACAGACACAGACATTTAACGAGAATTTTTTTTACAGAATAAGAAACACATAGAGACTTTGGACGACGGACAACTAAAGGCACTCTTAGACGAGGCAATCAATTACAAAAATCCTAAAGATCGAGAGGGAAAAAGCGATATATTCAAGGTCAGTGTTTTACGTGTCCCACAACTACATATTATACAATAAGTAGTTTAATAAGGTGTCACAAGTCACAGCTACTAGTTGCTTCAACAAGCTTCTTACCTAGCACTCAGATAACGAAATCTATCGTTAATGCACTCCTTAGCAGCACTATAGTAACAATTCAGTTCTATCGTGTTTGTATGTGACAATTACACGTAAAGAAACCACAAAGCATTAAACACTAGACAAAAAGACTTGTTATTAACAAATTAATATTTTTTTCTTACCGTATCGTAAATTTTTTGTACTTGGACGTATGTGAATAATATCCTCGAAGCAGGCTATCATATTCAGGACATTTTAAACCCCGAGTGCACTTTATATAACTTGTTGAAGCACTCTGAGCTGCTTATCAAGCAAGCTTGGTGAGAGACTACGTTTTTCTGCTTGCTGCCTCCTGTAAACAATATTAATCTATGAATAATCATTATTATTCGTAGATATTAATTCAGGTGGCGAAGTAAAGGCGGGATATTGAATAAAAAGCATGATACAAGGTGCTTCTATGATCAAATTTTACGAACTTACTTTCTCATTAATAACATTGGTAGCTTCTCATTTGTGCACTGGTCAACTTAAAAGCCTTGTGCAGCAGGAAGGAGTATATTCAACGTAGTCAAAGGCATTTGAGCGTCAAAATACATCGGCGTCTTACGAATCTCCCAGGCACTGAATAACTGTTGTAGCGCTCTTAGGGACGTTACTAACGTTTGTGGCGCCGTCATACATACACCTTTCGTTTATTTGACTAATCAGGCTCTAGCTCTATACAATTTTATGTTACTTATTTAATTAACATAGATAAAAATATGTATCATTAGATTCATCGAATACTGAAACTCACTTTTCACTATATTACAATAATTTAATTTTATGGGAATTGGATTAGAAAGTATAATGATGGCTCCGTATACATGTCAATTTGTTTACACGAGCCTAACTTAGAGATATTTCCGCCCCAGCACTAGTGTGCCCTTTTTTTCACATAAATTTAACATTAAATACTTTTTATAAATATGAGCCTTTCCAAATTATCTTAATTATGGTGACAACCAAATCAAAATCCGTTGCGTGGTTTAGGAGTTAGCAGATAAAAGTATAGACAAAGAGTAAGGAACTATATAAAGATCTCACTATATTTTCATACTTTTTACTCTTTTTATACCAGCTGTCTAGCTATATACAAAACAGACGTCGAAAACAATTTACTGTATGTTTTGGAGATGTTGACAACATTTGCCTCTTGGTTACGAATATGGCGCCAAGATAACGTCGTAATCCTGACGGACGATGACTTGCAGGAGTTGCTGGAAAAGGCGGAACAAGAAACAGACGAGCAGGCGTGTGAGGCAGCAGCACGGACTTTGAGTGGGTGTCGTAGTACGCGACGTGGTGGTAGGCGTGGCCCGCCGCTGCCACACTCCAACTCTTTACAGGATCTAGTGGCTGCGCTGGCCGCCGAGCCTCCGCGCAAGCACCACGTGCGCCACCATCCGCCCCCGCACGCTCCCCAACCCAACGTATCCGCGCGCGCCATACACGGCGGTAGTCTGCCGTCGGGAGTCGATACTTGTGAGTTGCTACAACATCATCACAGTTATAAGTATACTAGTGACACGGGCAAATTGTTCTCGTGAATAACGTTGCCAATACTTTTAGTATACGGTTTGATGATCGTGGTAAGATCGACTTTGTACATTTCTGTAATAACCTCAAATGTGAAATACCTTTTTGCCTAACGATGTCAGTTAAAAGTTAACGATTTACTTTTATTTTAAAAGAAGACCACTTCTCATATACAAATTACATAGTTATACAAACATGCCACTATTGACGCAAAAATTGTGCCTTGAATATTCCAGTAGATTCGGCTTTTATATAGCCTGCATTGCTAACATTCTTTAAACGTAAACTTGTCTACGTTCGGTTTTCAACTTGACTGACTGTGTTAACATCCGACAGCATCCCTGAGCGAGGAGCCGGCGCGAGGCGCGGGCTACCTGGCCACAGTGCGATGCGTCAACCCTCCTCCGCTGGCCGAACGTCGAGTATCTGCCAGCGACGCCAATACGCCTGCAGAGATGGAATTACTCAATAGGTACGTTGAAACCTGCATGTCTCGTTTATTTCGATATTTGAATAAACGGAGTGGAAAACATGAGCTGAAAACAAGTGCTATTGTTAATTCAAAAAGCTATGAGCAAAGATATTTGAAACTAGCTGTGAAGTCCAGCTATTGAGCTTTAGCGTGATTTTCTATTGTCCTTGGCAGCTGCACAGATACGCGACGAACGAATTAATTACACTAAACCAAGTGATAAAACCCATAAATTGTGTACAAAGGAATAATGGCGTGCTTCATGATGTGTAAACAATTACAACTCAGTCAGGTCGCCTTTTTTTATTTAATCATTTTAAAATGTCATTGCGACGGAACTACATCTATATTGCAAATCAGTAATTTCTCAATGGCATACGCTTCCTTCACAATTCCTATTTAATATTAATTTTAGGTTTCTAACTAGTAGTTTCAGTGCGGCATATAGATGGTATAAAAATGAATAAAACAATAACTAACATTTTCAAAATCGCATATTGTGTAATCAGTCACCCTTGTCGACAGAAGAAGTAAGCCGATGTTCCCGATGACGTATACAGCTCGTGCGACGCTGGAGATCGGCAGCGGCGCCGTGTGCTCGGGCCGCGCGGTCACAACCACCACGTCTTCCAACCAGGTGCGTACTACAACCACCTCTGCTACCACACCCGCGACAACTATCGCCTGCCAGGTACCCGATAGCGACCCTCAGATGAAACTGATGAACGCACTATGCCCTAGGAGCGATACCGATCAGGGCGGTTGTGAACAAATTCCTGAAGTAAAAGTACAATTGAATATAAAAGAAAAGGAAACAGAGAGTGCGAGTACTAGTGATCTCAAAGGTAAGACTAACATACCGCGCGGCCCGAAGGAACCCGAAACCAATGTCAACAAGAAGGAAGAATGCCTCCGAGAGTTTCCAAAAAGTGACATTAAACCGGTAAAAGGAAAACCTTATTCTCAAAAACCACCTAAATCATGGGTTGACAATGTTGATAATTGGTACAAAACTTTGTCAGTAAACTATCCTGAACCCTTAAAAATTATATACCACGACAGTAATAAGGTCAATAAACAGTATAAGATAAACGAAGTTACCGTCGATCAAAGTTCGAATTATACTCAGAAAAAGATTTCTGATAGTCAACCTGCAATTCAAGAAATAATATCAGCCGAAGATAAACATATGAGCCAAGAACAATGTACGTTTGAAATCAAGAAATCCGCATCTTATTCCTCAAAATTATTAAAAATCAAAGAATCTAACAATCATGTAAATAACCAAAATAGTGAAGAATTCTCTCTATCTAATTGTCGAACAGACTTTGAAAAAGATATTATTAAGGGAAAAATGAAAATAATGATGAAGAAGAAGAAGAAGCATGACCTGGTTGCGCCCACTTTGTGTGATATAAATCCAAGAAACATTAGGCCCATGAGTATTGGCTCACCAAAGAAACACTTAAAAACTGATCCAGTAGCATCCAAAAAAATAGTAGAATTGCCAGATAATCCTGTTGATATAAATTCGAACAGTGTTGACATATGTACAGAAAATGCTAATGCTGCTGCTGGCAGTAATCAAGTATCAAAGTGTCCTCCTGGATGCTGCAAAACAACAAAGAAACGTGAGCAACTGAAGGAACTTACAGACATGTTTAAAAAACTGTCCAACTATGCTAGTGCTGACATAGAATTGAAGGATATGCAAAGTGATCAACGACATAAAAATAAAAATAATTCATTCTCTAAATACGTTGCTCTACAACAAAAACTTCTTTTAGAAATAGAAAGTTTACAAGACGAAATTACAAATCATGAACAAGTTCATGATGTTACCACTGATTCAAACATGAGAGAAAACAAAACTAATTTGCAGGTACATATACCAACTGACGTTAAACAAAAGGAATCATTACAACTTGTACCGTTAACTTCAATTTCTGAAGAAACTTGCGAAGGTGTAGTCCAAACGTGCCATGTCGAAGAAAATCCAGTGAACAATGAGAGTGAAATTTCAAATGAGCTTTCTAACAATGCTTATGTTTTGCTAACTTTACCTAGCTCTAATAACACTGAATATTATGCTTCGGAAATAACTTCTAAACCAAAAACTGGTAAGAAGAAAGATAATTTATCTCTAGCCTCCAGCCATGCTAACAAGAAGGAAGAAATACTAAACAAAAATATTCTTAAAGTTCTTCTGTTTGAAAACCTTTTTAAAAACAATAGTAATGAAAAGTCAGTGACTCCCGAGGTGTCAGCTATCACCAACCATGAGGTAGGACGCCCATGAGAGTTACATATTTTAGTACGGTGCTTTATGTGAACCAAACTTCCGTATTAACAGGAGCGTGTTTCCACAGGTCGATTCCGCTATATCGTTTAGTTGCATCACAACACCGGAGGTTGTGGCCAGTTGCAACACGACATCGTCCACGTCCCAGGCAGCCGTCGCCGTCGATCCCAAGGTGATAAATTACAAGGCACACTCGTTATGAGCGCCTGGCTACTCTTATGCATAATTCTTAACAAACTCAGTACGCACCATTGGCAGACTTTGCGTTCCACCATTAACTTTCACTCCAGCTTGTTGGGTTATGGTTTAACACCCACGAGACTCGTATAATCCAAGCTTTAGATTCATATTTATACACTTATTTAGGAAAACTATTCATCTGAAACTTCTAATCATTGGCTTAGAGTTTCCTCAAGTGACGGAAACAACCTCGATTATAAAAGTGTGTAGTCACAAATTTACTTAAAGGGACTAAAAATGATAATAATACTCATTATTTAATATCGTTATTCCTCATAATGACAATATCTTCATGATGTCGTGTTGAAATCGAAGAATATAGTCGAGATAGACGATCTACCTTGATTCACAAATCAAAATAAGAATAATAGAATACATACATTCATTTTTTTTAATTAAACTATTTTGATTAATAATTATTATCTGTCAAAATCGGTTTGTGATTACGAGAAAAACGAATTGAAAATGTATATTTACTTACTTTTAAGGAACATACATACTGCCTTTATTTTTGTTTTTGTTGACGGGTGGAAAATCCCTTCGTGTCTCCTGCTCCTAGTACCTCCGTTTTAAACTTCACTATAGTTAAAAATGAAATGCCGTGATCCCGTTATTTAATGCGAATTGCAATTGCGTACATTTATTGTAAAATAATTTTTATGAAAAAAAATGAACAATAGTTCATTTTTTTTATTTCTAAATACTATTATTTCTAAATATATATATCTATGGTCGTAGGGGGCTTGACCAATATGTCACTATCTTCTCAAAGCGAATAAACTATAGTATCAGTAGTAGAATGTTAAAATACCGTGTTAGACAACTACAAAGTCAAGTTAAATGATTATTATTTTGCAGCTAGCGACAGAAAGTAAAAAACTGCAAAAAGTTGCAATAATAAATACTTCTATTAAAAGGCCCCTTCAATGTAAGCAATATGTTTTGTTAAAAATTTTAAACCTATGGTCTAGAAAATAGGGCTTCTGATTGAGCATTTTTACATATATATATTTTTTCAGTTTAATCTCAATGCGCTAGTCGGGTACATTAAAGCAAAATTTACAAAGAAAGAATAGGAATTAAGATTTTCAATTAAAAGTTTATTTTACAAGTAAAGGTTGTAGAGATGATAACATGTGTGTTTAATAGGTTATAGACAACTCTGTTTTCTTTAAATATTTTATAATTATAAAATACTTATAAAAGGAAAGGTTTAGATCTTTAAACATTTGGCCCTTCAAACTGAGTAATATTATGTACCGCAATTGTTCAAGACATAGGGAGATAAACGGCATTGGATGCAGGAGAAAATTAGTATCCGAAACTAGGCAGCACCATTGTACTGCTTCATTGGTAAAATATTTATCCAGTGTGCCAATAACCTTTGTAAAACGGCTTAAAATATCTTCAAAAACTATGTAAGGAGTTAACACGTATCCACTTAGGTACCAAGATAATCAAAACAGTTAGCCAGCCGAAGTAGCAATAAGTAGTGTAGGATGTTAGGAACAGAACAGGTATTAGAAAACAGTTGTTTTATGCACGTGTTCACCTTTTGATGTTTAACACGAGTTTTTCTGCGTTCCATAACCGTATCAATTATTAATCAATAAACCAATTCGATTTCGTATCTCGATTAACCTTATACAGTCTTTAATAAAAATAGAAGATGATGAAAAGAATATGATAGATTTTTCTGCATTTGCGACTGTGTCTGTTTTAAATTTATAGTGTAATTACATAATTGGGACTAGTAAAAAAAAAGAAGATCATACATATCGACTAATAGATCAGTTTAGTTAGGCGACTACGCCACGATGATATTACTGCACCGGGACTGTACCTTTACACTGTAAGCTGTTATATACAACCCGCGAGGTTTTAAGGCCTAAAATTATTTTACCATATTGAGAATTATATTTATTTAGGTGTATATTATTGCTGGTCCGTTGTCAGCCGCCTCAAAAAGGATATGGGCTTAGCAAAATATTGAGTTTAAGGAGTTTACATGTAAAGTTGATGATAAAATGCTTTATAATATCATCAAAATATAAATATCATCTTTTTGCAGATTTTCACAAAGTGCAGGAAACCGTGTTCCTCTCTGTGAATTAAAATATACTGTACCCATAACCTTCTCTTCTTTATTTAAGTTTTATTAATTTCTTTAACTTATAATAATTTTGTTGCCTGCATGCCTTTTTTTAATTAAATTCACCTTAATCCTTTTTTATTAGTTCTTTTAAGTTAGATTATTTAAAAAGAAACTGACAAATTAGCTTCTATCATTGGCTGAAATGTATTACAAATAAATGGTTATAACACTATAAAGAGTAGGTTACCAGTTTGCTGTAAGGCACCTTAATAAAGCTATAATTGAGGCAAATATTTAATAAAAGGTTTTGCTCTCAGCCTTATATATAATAATTTCGTAATAGCAATCTTGGATTCAATTGTCAATTCCAAACCAACGTCAGTAAACATTTGACATCGCTGGTTTATTATACACTACTACTAACAGAAATTCGGAATGACAATCCGTAGACGTCCTAAGTTATGCGAAGATATCCAAATCATTTTATCGCGGACTTTGTCTGTAACGAGGGGTTAGAAAGAAAGTTAGGGAGAAAGTTTAATAATAAGTTTATAAAATAATATACATAGATAAAATATAATAATAATTTTATACAATATAACCTGATAACAAAAGTATTGACTACTCATTACCATTACTTTTGCGTTAATATTTGTCTTATAAAAAGCCACAAAATAATGTTATAAGCAATACGACTAACGTAAGTCTACTAAAACTAATGTATAATAAGAGTGCGTATTCCATCAATAAGTAGTAATTAACTCATATTTTACCAAAATGTAAACAATCTGGTAGAAATGTAAATTAAAGTTACAAATTCCAACCTATCACCTTATAAGTTACCTAGCATCCAAAGTCGATAAAGTTTGCACGTGGAAGTGTATTAAATTGGTTGTCAGTGCAGCTGTAGCACATATACGTGTTTATGTTTAGCCTCGCAGTGTGATCTCGAGCAGCTTCAACGGTCTGCCTCTGTCGCGCCCCAATTACGGTTCCATGGGAACAGCCGCCTCCGACGACTACAAGGTGTTGGTCGCATACGTATGATTTTGAAATATTTTATTTTTTTATTTTACTATTTTCAACGTGCCAAATAAATGAAATATTAACGTACGTTTTCGTTTCAGAAATCCATCGACGAAAATGGCAATTCTGTACAAGGATTCAGTTCACCTCTTTCGGGATCTAGTCAACACAAAAAACCTAGGAGGAAAAAGTCATCAAAGAACGAGACCGTCATAGATTGCCAACAGATCGACGGCTACCAGGGGGACAAAGACGTCAACGAGCTTCTCCGCTTCATCGAGTCGAATGCCGACAACGGGCGCGGTGCCAAGCTTTCGCGCGTCAAGCACAAGGACGACTCCGACGACAAGACTGGCAAGAAGCGCTCCTCGGAGCGTCGGAAGGACAAGGAGAGCAAGATCAAGCGCGCCTCGTCCCTGGAGGAGCTGTCGCGTACCAAGATCGAGGATCTCACCGACGCGACCGAGGGCTCGCTCCGCGGCGAAAAGAAGGATCGCCGCGAACACGCGCCCGCCAAGCAGGAGCGTCGCTCCTGGGGCGACGACGCGCGCGAACCGCTCGAGCCCGCGCCCAGCGAGCTCACAGACTTCCAGACCGTCACAAAGAAGCGCAAGCCGCGCCGTCGCGCCGACGAGTCCGAGCGAGACCCGCCTCGGCGCGCGCGCCCGCCCTCCCCTCGCGCGCGCCGCGAATCCGCGCCGCCGTCCGACCGCTCCAACGACTCCAACGACGACTTGGACTCCGTACACTCGCTGCCCGACGCCCCGCGACCGCCGCCCGCGCCAGCCCTCCCCGCTCCACACGCCTCCTACGCCGAAATCGCTCGCACACGCCACAACATCCCCGACCTCATCGAGTCCTGCAACTTCTACGCGGAGGGCGAGGGCGCTCCGCGCCCGGAGACGGCTCCCCCGGGTGACGCCGACGGGTACCCCGCGTTGGACGCTCGAGCCGCCGCAGCCAGGCGCCGAGATCTAAAGGCCGCGGCGGTCTCTCTGCGGCGGGACCGCAAAGAGCGCGCCGCTCCGGCCGCCGAGGGTGCGCGGGCCCCCGACTGCCCGGCACCGGACGTGGTGGCAGACCGGCGCCCCCCCGTCATCCTGCTGGATTCGGCGGTGAGGCCCCGGGACATGGACGGCGTCACTTTCGGCTTCGACATCAACGAGCAGCTGCTGAGCGGGCCGGCGCGGCGGCCGCGCTGCGACCTGCTGCGCGACGCGCTGGCGGCCGCCGTGCCCGTGCGCGCGGCCGCCGCGCTGCGATACGTGCCGCCCGACGCGCCGCACGACACGCACCACCTCTGCCAAATCGTCGACTACGTCGGCGCAGGTGCGTACCCTCCTACACTTCATTATTATTTAGTGACCGTACCCCGCCACGCTATATCCAATGTGATAATCGTAAACGGAAATAATGGGAGATAGACGCAACGTTATTTACGACTTCGGCGTCAAAAGAACTCCACCTCACAAGTAGACTATACGTATTGCAAATGAGATTGCTCTGAGGGCCGAGTGCAAGTTTATTTCACACCGACTCGCTCTCGACCTCGAGCGCGTTTAGCGTTGCGATTGGTGGAGATTTCAGCGCGGGCCAATCACAAAACCGAACGCCGTCACCGTGAAGATCGAGTAAAGTGAAATAGATTCGCACTTGGCCCTTTGATCGGAATAGAGTAAGAGTGCTTTTAAGCTTTAAAACGATTTTAGTTATAGGTTAAACCGTTTTAGTAACATAGCCAGTGTAAAATTGGTAGACGTTTAGGAAATTTATATAAATTGCGATTTTAGACGTAAGATAGGTTTCGAGTAAAAAAGTTGAGCGTTGACTTTCCTTATTATATTGCAGCGTGGGAGGACGTCCTGCGGTGCGGCAATGGCAAGGTGCGGTATTTCAACGAGTAGCGCTCGCCCGTCGCGTAGCTCTAAGGGAAGCCTCGGAAGAGCTCACCGAACACTAACTTACGCCCTGAACTAAGAGTGTGAGACCCGCCGAGGGCTTCCCCCGCTAGCGTATTCGTGCAGACGTGCGTCTGATACTCTTAATATCGCTTACTTTAGAAAAAATAATAAAAGAGTAGAAACAGTGAATGTTTCCTGAATTTCGAGACGAAATTTCGATAAACTAAAGAGTCGAGCAATTTCACATTGTGGTATCGACGCAGTGAAAAGTGTGACGGTGACGAAAGTGTGTGGGTGAAGTGCGGTACGCGAGTGTGACGCTGTGCGGTGCGCTGTAACGCTTTCGTGCGAATAATCGGCCGAGCAGCCGATGGATAGTGATCACACTTATCTTACACTGGTGTTTTGCTAAGACAGTCGATTTTGTTTAGCTTAAAATTATGAACGTCGGCAATGAGCGTTTAAAGATTTGATTCGCACTTTGAAATCTTTAATTGTTAAAACTGATTTAGAGAATGATGTGAGTTTTGTTATTAGTCTGGTGCATCGATTCATTACAGCTACAAAAATCCATGTTCATACTTAAATCCCAAATATGTGTAGAAAAACTATTGATTAGGTTTTGTCTAAAACGAGTAAAAGCGCGAACCTGACCTTTCATTTGATGAGGCTAATTTTGTATAAAGCATACTATTATATATTTATTATTTACCAATGAGCAAGTTTCTTAGACGGTCATATAAAGCTTGCGGTTACTAATTGACATTCAGCCATCTACTGTTACGAGAGTTATAGAAAATGTTACATGTAATCAGTGTTGTATCAATTCACGATTTGCGCCAGACGAACACTAAGTTTTGGTTCCAGTTAAAGAGGCATGTATTATTTTGTTTCTGTTGATTTTTAAGCTTTTGTTATAATGTAATCACAAATATTTTGGTAGATTTTTCTAACTAGCCACTCAAGTCTATTTTGTTATGTATTTTTAAGTTTTACCATTAGAGACTGCTTACTGTAAATAAAATAAAGATCTTATAAGGAGTAACGGGCCATGCTGGTATGGAGCGGTGCCATCCAGCTCGGACATGGCATTACTAACACAGCAGTTTTGTATTTAACTGATTGACTACTAACATGTGTTAGAGTTGGTAATTACTGTGTAGGTATGATATGTTAATTAATATCACCACTGGGTGTGTGGGTTATGTTGTTGAGAGTCCAAGTATGTTTTTGTACATAACAGTTTAGTTTTGTTTATTAGTGGGGGCATGTCCGAGCGGAGTAGACTATGCAGTTGCACTGACATCTAAATAATATTTGTGATACACAAGCTTGTCACGTATCATTAGTCACATGCGCTCGTCGCTGGTGTGGCAAGTAAGTTTGACCAATGTGCGTAGCTGTTAAAGTTGTAACTTAGTTGTTTGTAATGTTGTGCTATTTGTATCGCTGCGAATGTGTCGATACGCTCTCTATTCAACTGTATGTGACACAGTCTAACAAGTTTTGGACGAACCGGACACTCATCGACTCTGAGCATGTCAGTATCGTAATGACACATCACCGCGGCCACTGTAAAAATCGTGTGAAATGAATGGATGACCTTTTATAAAATCATGGTTTGATTGGAATGACTCCATACATGAAGTGAAAATTCCAAACATTATGTAAAGTAAGCAATTTACGTAAAGGTTTCGCATTTATGTAAAGTTGTGTTATTTGTTCGCCAACGCATTGATCGTGGATCTTTGTAATATCACTATGTACTCGTACTGGGATCCATTATATATTTGTATTACACTAATCGACATTTAAAAAAAAGCGAAAAGAAAACACAAATTAACAAAAAAATACTATTGTTAAGTTTTACTTGAAAGTGATCATAACTTCGACACTTTAGAATAAATCTTACATTAAATTATTGATCTAAAAAATAACTGGCTGGCTTTTCTATTGAGATTTCTGCTTCGCAGTTCTTGGCGTAACAAGCAAATCACACAATTAGAGAAAATGATGGTGTTAAATTAATTATAATATTGTCTGCGGTAGTGAAGGAACCACCGAAAATTTAAGGAAGCAATCCTTAAGTGTTTGTCCTTAAGTGTGTAAAAAGATTTCTCTAATTCATTGGTACTATCTTTGTTCCGGTAAAAACCTTTACTACTACTAATTATAATTCAATTCCAGAAATATTCCTTACTATAATTTAGCCGGAAATATTTTATTTCAGAAGAATTGCCTTGTCATATTTGATAATTTACTGAATACTTTTGCATCTAAATCCTTAATTTTTTTTCATCCTTCACTACCAAAGAATACAGGTCTTTTGTAAAATCTTGTTTACAATTTTGATATGATATTAAAATGACGCCAAGAACAAAGTTCTGTTATGTGTGAAACTAGTTCATGAATGTTACGTAATTCAACAGGTTCCTATATTAAATATAAAATTATAATAAATTTGATTCTCTAACATGCTAATGCAATATTCACAAGTGTTTGATCATGTCATCAACAATATTACAAAAGATACGTTAATAAGGAAGGGCCACAATATTGTAAATATAGTGTACATTAATTTTCTTTTATTTTCAAAGAGTAACGTTTTTTAATATTGTTGAGATTGATATCAATGTACTGAGAGGAAGCTCATATCAAAGGTATAGAAATTATTTATTATTTCTTTCCCTTGTAAAATATGTATATAGATGTGCAGAAAAATATTGGATTTTATCGTTTAGTGCATCCTAGACGTTGTAGATAAAAGATCTCTTAGTTGGTGTTGAACAAAACGTCAAACGGGCGAGAGTGCACGGCCCCCGCGTTCCAGTCACGCGCCCTGTCGCTAACATGGGACAACATTTATTAGTTGTGATGTTGAACTAACTTTTATTTATAATTTCCTATTCTCTTTATTAAGCTAACTCTTCTTTATTTAACTTATAAACAAACAACTTGTCCTGTTGCCCGAGGAATTAGCAGCGAATACGGTAGATAAAACTCAGTGCTTCGTTATTTTAGCGTTTGGACCGGAACGCGGTAAACGCGGCGTAAACGTTTGAAGTATCTTTTCAAAACATAGTTTATATGCAGAGTAACTTTCTGGTGATAGAGGATTTGTAAAGCAGTCACTTTTTTCGGAACTACATTGCGTGGCCGTATTCGCGACTACATTTAATATGTACACGTGTTATTTAATACCAATATTGGAATCTGCAGATTTTATGCGGTGCAGATACAATACCCGCGTTTGGCATATACATAATACAGTACTATTGACGTACTTTTCGTTTTAGTTTTCTACTCGAACATTCAAGTTGCGATGATACTGATGAATATTACTGATAGTCAACAGTTGTTAACATAAAATTAATTGAAATTGAGAAAATTGGCGCTTACCAGAGCACCGGAATCACCGAAAATTAATCTGTATATTATAGTAACTGCTAATACATGCCAATTTTATTAAATATTAATATTATTGTATTTAAAAAACTTGAATATATTTTGTTACGCTAAATATCTGGAGATCTAAAATATACATAAGAGAATGTATGTGTGAGCTAAAATTAATTAACTTGCGCTAAAATAAATGTAATTATTTTATTTAGGGTAATGGAGTGATAATGCTTAGGAAAGCTATTTGGCGAAGTGTAAATGTATAAATAAATGAATGCTGAAACATAAGTTTTGTATGATTACCCCATTTTCTGCGTAAATATAATTTATTGCGAGTCTAGATATGTCAAGTGTTCAAGTTTCATGTAAACTATAATACAATAACGGTAGCAACAATAATTCATATATGTAGAAAATGGGATAATCGCTGTGTATAATATACGTACCAATATGAGAAATTTTATTTATCTGCTTTGCATCTAACTGTTTAAATATTATTCTAGGTTTTTACTCTGTTCATTATTTGAAAAAACTACAAAACATTAAAGTAAAAAAACCTATAAGTATAAAAATTATAGTTACCTATACTCTTTTATTGAGATTCTGCTTAAATACTTCTAAGCACGTACACTCTTCATACACAATATTTGTATTTATAATAATTGCAGCCTGGTATCCCTATCTTGTGGGTATGAAAACTTATAGATGAATCAACGTGCTCTAAGTCAATTGTTTATGTGAATCTGAACATTGCATATGCAACTACTCAACCTGTCTCTGTCGCATGTGTAATAAAACATTTAGAGCATTACGGAATGTATTAAAGATACACAGGCTGAAAGTTTATGTTGACAAATGGAACTGTCCACCACTTGCTTCTATGGTGAAGTAGGCGTGACAATAATCTATAGATTTGGTTCTCAATATTCACCTGTAAATTATTATGGATGTTCCTTTTGGAAATGGGAATAGAGTAAAAATTTAGTGCCGATTTTAACTGTAAAAGGTTTGTTTATAAAAACAATATTGTAACCAACTGCAATTTACAGTTATGTACTTTTTCACTGTTTCCGTTTTCTTAATAAAATGTTGAAAATACCACATCTTTTGTTTTTTAGCGAACAAACGCATTTGATATGAGCTAGATATGATTGCCTGATGACTAAAGCTGGAGCTGTCTTTATTACTCAACCATTAGAATCATCATATTTGCTGTTCCACCGAGTTCTGAAACTCATATTAAAAGTCATCTCACTTGTGGTGAACTTGCGATTGATAAAGATTTCGGTGTGGGACAATCGCAACGGCCAACGCGGTCACCTTAACGATCTAGTAGATCTATACTAATATTATAAAGCTGAAGAGTTTGTTTGTTTGAACGCGCTAAATTCAGGAACTACTGGTCCGATTTGAAAAATTCTTTCAGTGTTAGATAGCCCATTTATCGAGGAAGGCTATAGGCTATGTGTGCGTTACCCCAGCAAAATAATGTCGAAAATGGTCATTTAAACTTTATAGATAACTAGCTGACCCGCGCAACTGCGTCTGCGTCTCTCAATAGCAATAAATTTTCTCCGTTTTTGAAACATTCTTTATTGGTGCTC